AAAGTTACTGCTGAATCGCTCAAAAGATTAATTTTCACATTTTCGAGCTTTAGTGCAGTGACAACATTTGCGACCAATCTTGATAACAGTACAGCTGCGCACAGTTCTAGCTTTGGAAGTGTTACGACTTTGAGAGGTGCTACGTTTGATTTCGAACAAAGAAGTGATGAGCTTGGTACATTGTTGTCATCCATGGTCGTGATGTAAATGCAGGCTCCGTAAGCCTTTTCGGATGCATCAGAAAGTCCGTGTATGACAATTTCTTTATCCGGATTTCTCAGACATACGTTACGCTTCAACTGCAGTGTTTCTAATTGCTTCAGTATTTGAGAAAATGTTGTACAGTTGCCTTTGAGTTCTTCAAGTAGATCTTCGTCCCATCCTAATGTCTGCTTCCACAAATCTTGCATGATGTGTTTCGCATTTATCAGAAGAGGACTTAGGACTCCGGGAGGATCATAGATTTGAACGATAGCTTATAAGTAAAATCTGTCGTTTTGATACTTGATCTGCTTGTGGTGAATTAATGTGGAAAGTAAAACATCCATGTTGCTGTCCAATCTTTAATATGCTGAAGAATACGTTTATCGTTTGCTCTCCATTTTCTTAAACATAACTTGCCTGATTCTAATAATGTGGATACTTGTTCTTGTAATTTGATGGCTTCTTGTAGTGAATTTGCTCCTGAGAGGAAATCGTCCATATAAAAATCGTCTTCCATGGCCTCAACGGCTCTTAGAAATTCTGCTCGTGCCTCTAGGCTTATTTGTCTCAAACAATTGCATTTGCGGTGCCCTGTGTCGCTCTGTCCAATGTAAATATCTGAGTCGGATCGCCAGGATTTTACGCCAAAAAATTGTTTGCAGGTTGCGGTCGGGTTTGGAAACATATATCTGTCTAAACATGTACGCCACGTCACCAGTCATGACATATTTCGAAGTTCTAAATCTAAACAAGATTTGAACAAGGTCATTCTCTAAATTGGGACCTGATAGAAGCATATCGTTTAGTTCCTAATGAAGCTTTTGCGGAGGCATCAAACACAGCTCTCATCAAAGAAATTGTTATGCTTTCACTTTTATTTGGCTTGTTGGACTTGAAACAACAGCAGTTAGTTGCGAACTCTTTTATTATTAAAAACGTACTGCCCATGTACAAAACCCAAAGACTTACAAACTAATAGATACACCACATTTCCTTCCCCTTAAAATAAAACATAGTAAAAACTTCTATTACAAAAATAATTATGTACAATATGAATTGTTGAACCTTACTTAACTCTATTTCTTAACCCTTAAGCTACGATGTGGGGTCCTCAAGGGACCCCAATTTTAGTTTTTTTCAAATAACTTTTGCACAAAATTTTTTTGCTCAATTTCCTTTTTTGACTTTATTTGTGTTGTCACCACACATGCGAAAATGCATTTGCCTAATTATAAAAGAAATTAATTTTTATTTTATTTATAATTTTGTGCATGGGGTCTTCAAGGGACCCCGCGCCGTAAATGATTCTGCATGATCTAAGTGTGTTTCGTCGCTCAGAATCATCAAAAAATGTTGAAAAATAGTTCAGATTTAATAAAAATCGACAAAAATACTGTTTATTTTCAAACGTCATATAACTGACACTTATATGACGGTCTTACCGGGGTTTAAGTGTCATTTCTATGACACCGTGTTTGAGCGGCGCATAAGTACTACTTATACTCCGCCGGCGTATAAATAAAACATTTATACTCCGCCGAAGTATAAATATGTGAAAATCATAGTGGTTGTCAACCATAGTAACCATGGTAAGTGAAATCAAGGCAATTCCTTAATGAAGCACGAAGATAGGAAATAACCATTTCAAAAGAAGATTAATCGTTTGAAAATAAAATATTGTATTTCATTCGGAGTTTAAGTGACTTTATGTGACTCGTATGGACTTAATTCGCCTCGCTATCGCTCGGCGTTTAATCGTCCATACTCCGTCACATAAAGTATCACTTAAACTCCTAATAAAATAAATATCTATTCTAGATAGAATTTGATTGTTTAGTTGTGACCAACATTAAAACTAACTTAACTTCACTTTTTCCTGTCAATCGTATTTCCACTGTTACTAGTGCACTGATTTTGAGATTTTGACGACGATATTTAGAAACGAGGAGTTATTAACATCAAAGGACGTTTGCCTCACTTGCAAAAACATCCTAAAATTGTCCAAGCAATTTGATCATGTGGTGTGGTGGATTGCGAAATGGACGAAGAGTTTCCTCGAATTCTCCAAAACAGAGCAAAAAAACGGGGACGGTGTCGAATTTGCCCCTGAAAGACCGACAGGAAAAAATTTGTCTGCAGGCAACATAGGCTCACAACAAAAGAAGTTAATATCCATTGCAAGGATCACGCCGAAAACCAAGAAATTCATAATATTTAATTTTTTTCTTTTAGAAGTATGTTCAAATTAAAATAAATTTTTGCATGTACTTTATCATTAATCAATAAACTATCCAAAAAAAAAAATTACTTAAAATAAACAATAAATAAGCTGGGGTTTTGAGGAACTTTTATTTTTTTGACATTTATCACAAGATTTTATATAGTTTTTTATATCACAGTACATTTTATGCCAGTTATAATTGTTAGCTTTCAAACGACTAAAGGTCCTGTTTATGCCTTGATGACCTCCTAAAGGTGTTAAGTGATATTCTCGAAGAACATTTTGTATTTCCTCTGGTGAAAATTTGGAAATTTTATTATCGTGACAAATTAAAATTTGAGTAGAAGTTGATTAAAAATGTAGCGAAGCATAGTACGTACATCTGAGATCCTTAAATGTTGGCCTTTTATAGTAAAACTGGGAATTGCAATTTTTTGAATACTATTTTTCAAACAAAATGTTTTTAAATTTATTAATGCGTAAAAGACATTTTCGAGGGAAACTTGCTCATTTTCAGAATTCTTTAGAATGAGATACATATAATATCGTTCATCAGATTTCAAAAACGCTAACTGACGTACTTGTGCATTTTGTGATTTTAACTCGTCTACACTATTATAGTATTCGTTTTCACTGGAAAATTGCTTGTCAGATAAATAAAGTAGATTAAATTCGTCAGTGCATTCGACAACAGAGTCATTTGTGTCTATAATATTTTTATTAGATACTAGGGTATTTTGAATAGTCCTTTTGTAGTGATCGTATTCGTTATTTATTTCTTAGATTGTAGTTACATTTGTTGAATAAATACGGCTAAGAGCGTCAGCGTTAGAATTTTGTTTTCCAGGTTTATAAATTACTTCGAATTCGTATGCTTCCAACTTTAAACGGAATCTTGTGAGGCGCGATGAAGGGTTTGAAATTAAGAATAAATATGTAAGAGGTTTATGGTCCGTTAAAATTTTAATTTTTTTTCCATAAATATATGGACGAAAATGTTGCACTGCGTAAACAATCCCCAATAGTTCACGCTCCATTGTGGAGTAGTTCCTTTCGGCTTTATTCAAAGTTCGCGACGCATACGCAATAGGCAAATCGTGGCCAATTGGGCCTTGGGAAAGAACAGCGCCAACTGCATTTTGGCTTGCATCAGTAGTCACAATAAATTCTTCGGAATAATTAGGATATTGTAGAATAGGTGGGTTAGTTAACTTGTTTTTTAGTTTGATAAATGCATCTTCACACAAAGCAGTCCATTGAAAAACAACATTACGCTTCAACAAATTATTTAAGGGATACGCAATTTCGGCAAAATTGTCAATAAACTTTCTATAATATGACGCAAGTCCAAGAAATGAACGTACTTGATCTGCATTTGTAGGCCTAGGATAATTCATTACAGCAGAGATTTTACCTGGATCGGGTTTTATACCATATTCAGAGATTAAATGGCCTAGGTAAGTAATTTCTTTCCGTAAAAAGTCACACTTAGAGGGTTGCAATTTTAAGTTGTTTTTTCTAAGTCTTTCGAACACATCTATTAATTTAGCATTATAATCGCGTAAGGAAGATCCGTACACTACGATATCGTCAAGGTAAACCAGGCATCTAACTCCTTGTAATCCCGAAAGTACAGTGTTCATTAAGCGCTGGAATGATGCAGGCGACGACTTTAGTCCCATTGGTAATCGCTTATATTGATAATGTCCTTCAAAGGAAAAGGCTGTAAGTGGCTTACTCTCGTCAGACAACAACATCTGGTGAAATCCAATGGCTAAATCAATGACAGAAAAGTACTTTGAATGACCTAATTGTTCGAGAATTTCAGATATATTGGGTACCGGATACGCGTCCGATTTTATGACATCATTCAATTTGCGAAAATCAACCACAAGTCTCCACTGTTTATTTCCCTGAGAATCCGCACGTTTCGGTACAATTAATATGGGTGCATTATAGGAGCTATTGCTATGTTCAATCACATCATTATTTAACATTTCGTTAATTTGACGGCGAACCTCTGGTTTTTGGTTTTCGGCAAGACGGTATGGTTTAACGAAGACGGGTTTATCTGATAACAGCGATATTAGAGAGTTTGCGCTTTGTCTTTCTACGATATAATTATAATCAACATAACCTACAAATATAGTGTAACGTTTGAGTTTTGAAAAGTGTTTGCGCTGTAGTGCGTGCTGGTACGGTATGGTATAATTGACGTATGACAGATCCGTTTGTTAGGTTAGGTTAAATACAGTCATTTGGAGATGGCTTAAGGTATAGTAGCCTGCATAGATATTGTAGCCGTCCATAGAGTCGAAATTTGCGAATAAAAATAAAATAAAACCGGTTCAAACGAAGCCGACGGTGGCTTGCAAAGTCTGATGTCACTCTGGCACACGTTGCACAGAGACGTATTTAATATTAAATGTCATTTTTTCCGTTATGATATAATCTGTTTAATTTCTGAGCTGAATCTCGTCAATAAAATCGAAGCTCTGTTCACTGTACACAAGTTGTGGTATGGTATATTCATCGTTGCGGAGGCGGGTGGAGCGAAAAACCAAGTCATCTTAGCAGCAAACACGCCTATAAACTAGTCCACGTGGACTGTTTGTTTCCTGTCATATTTTAGTTTGCTTGAACCAATTGTGTTGCACCAAACGGTTATTACACTTGTTGAAATAAATTTTCAAACTTCCATCTTTCTCTAGATCATCTGTTTCGTAGTTGTGTGACAAATCGTTTGTCGTAGATAGAAAATAGTAAGATTACAGTGACCCTAAGATTTTGTGCAAACAGCCTTAAATACACCCCTGTGTGATATGACGCGTGCCGTAGTGACAGAACTTGCAAGCCGTCGTCGGTTTCGTTTGAGCCGGTTTTATTTTATTTTTATTCGCAAATCTCGACTCTATGGACGGCTACAATATCTATGCAGGCTACTATACAACATAACTATACCAATTATTACTGACAGCTTAAAAATACTTAGAAAACTACACTGGATTGAAAATTTAAGTTTTGTATCAGTGAAGAAATTATGGATATCATCCAGGATCTTCTACTCTATGGGGATACCGACAGTATCAGCGACTATTTCTTCTACAAATCCCTGGAGAAAGTTTTAGCAGAGAAAAGGCAACTATATACGCGTGTTCCTTTTGATATTCACAAGGTAGAAATCGGTAATTTTAAATACCTTTGCCGGTTTGACAAGGAAGATATTGTAAAACTGCACAGAGCTCTACAACTGCCACATCGATTCGAAACTGAAGACAGACATATCATTGGGGGTTTGTAAAACATAAGCAATAATATATTCCCTACTAATCATATTTATTTTTTTCAGGAGTGGAAGGTTTGTGCCTTTTGCTTCGGAGATTTGCCTACCCAAATAGGTTGAAAGAACTGCAAAATGAATTTGGTTTGCAATACTCGAGTCTCAGTAAACTAGTGAAATTGATTTGTCATTTTGTTTATATGAGGTGGAGCAAATTGCTGCTGAACTTTGAAGAAAATAAGTGGCTGACGACTGATTTTTTGAAAGAACTGGCACTGCTGGTGCACGAGAAAGGTGCTCCGCTAACAAATTGTATTGGATTCATAGATGGAACAGCTCGATCCACCTGCCGACCAACTAGAATGCAGAAGGAGCTATATAGTGGCCACAAAAGAGTGCACTGCCTCAAGTTTCAAGCTATAACTTTACCCAATGGTTTAATATTACATTTAAGCCAGCCATATCCTGGCAGACGTCATGATTCCTTCATTTTAAAAGACACACATATACTGCAACAATTAAGATTGTATTGTCCAACATTTTGCCTCTATGGTGACGAAGGCTATCCATTAAAATCCCAGTTGATAAGACCATACTCGAATACCAGATTAACTGAGCAGCAGCAGCTGTTTAATAAGAAAATGTCAAGAGTAAGACAATGTGTGGAATGGAGCTTCGGTAAAATTGTGCAATAATTCGCCTTCGTCGATTTTAAAAAAAATCAGAAGCTTCTGCTGCAGCCTGTGGGCAAATATTATTTCGTAGCAACTTTGTTAACCAACGCCCATTCCTGCATTTACGGTAGCTTAACTTCAAAATACTTTAATATTGACACTCCTGATTTGTTTGAGTATTTTCAATGAACTCTATATTACTGTGGTTTCAAATAAACAGCTTCGACCAAATATGAAGTTTTATTATAAAGTTACTTAAATAATTAATTCAAGGATTTTTTTTTAGAACACCAGAATTTAAAACGGCCTCAAGAAGCTTGATAATAGTATCATTTCTTTGATTATCACTTTGCTTTTCTTTATATTGCTGCTGCCACTTCCTTTCTTCGAATTCCAACTTTGCTTTTTTGTAGGCAATCTCGTCTTGCTGGAGTTTGATGGTATCACCATGTTGCCGTTCTCTTAAACGCAATTCTTCTTTTCTAAGTTCATTCTCAACTCTTGTTTTGTCTGACAAGTACAAGAAAACTCCATTACCTTGGGAAGTAGATGAATTTCTAGTTTTCACTGCTTGTGTGGTATGTTTTCTCTTGACACCTTTAGCTCTAGGCGCATTAGGACAATTATTGGTAGATTCAGTATCATCCTGAAACTCAGCGTCATTGCTGTTAATATAGTGCGGTCCATAATCAGTGTTATCACTATCATCAACATCAGTTAATTCTATTATGATATTTTCTGAAAAGGAACTATTATTCTCTATTGTCTGCAAAGCAGCTTCCCTAATGGCCTTGGCTGCAGCCACATCATCATTTTTTTTCATAGTTGCTTCTTTCCGAGGACGTCCAGGTTTGTTGGTTTTCTTCTCAGCTTCTAAATTTACAATAGACTCGTAATTGTACCACACTGTCAACAACGTCCTCATAGCATCTCCCCACTCTGTGTGCAAACGCTCCTTTCCACTCTCAGTAGCCTCTTCTGAATAATATTTTTTGTATTTAACTACTTGTTCCAGCATGTGCTCTTTCAATAATTTCAAACTGCAACTTTTGAATCTGAAATGTCAATAAACAATTCGCAAAACATTCCTGGTTTGGTTTTAACTTTACCTACATACCTATCACTGTCATAGCACAAAACAAAATGTAAGTTTTTCCACAACTGTTCTTCTGTTGCAAAATCCCCCTCACATAAAAGATTGAACAGCTCCTTTATGCTTTTTATTCTTTCAGCTTCGCTAAACCGAAACCTGCTTTTCTTTCCACTAGAAGTTGAAGGGGTGCATGGATCTTGTGGATATCTTTGCTGTGATTCCTGCGTCTGCAATGACGTCGCAGATTTGGGAATCGGTGGCAAGGACGTCTGATTATTATCACGCTCCCAAAGGTCCCGTGAACACATTATTATTTGTCGAGAGGTGGAGGTGTCTTGGCTGCATTTAATGAGAAATACAAAATCTGTTGTTTGGATACTTCTGTACTTGATAATATTGTGCCTCTTGTTGATATTTTTTTATGCAAATGTTTTATTGGTTCTTTAAACTTGATATTTGGTGTGCTGTATATTCCTCCGGATATTTCTCTTGATGATTTGGAAACATTTATCTCTGCCCTTGAACAGTTTCTCCTGTATCAAAATTTTATTATAATTGGTGACTTTAATGTTCCTGACATTTCGAACGTCAGTACTGCCTCAGCAAGTAAAGCAAGTTGTATGCAACATTTTATAAATATTCTTAACTGTACCCAATACAACCATATACACAATTGTGATAATAAATTACTGGACTTGGTTCTCTCTAACACTAACTTTGAGCTTTCTGTTTCACATTCTAGTTTTCCACTTGTTGCTGAGGATAAATATCATCCAGCTCTGAATGTCAATGTAAATATTTGTAGTACCCCTAAATTTCATTCTTTTCCTTCAAATAACCAGAAATGTTATAACTTCAGGAAAGCTGACTTTGTGTCATTATATAACACTCTTTGCAATACTGACTGGTCCTATTTGGCACATTTTGTAAACATTGGTGAGTGTGGTTTTCGGCTGAAATTAAATCTTCCCTGAAAATGAAAGAATACTATAGGAAAAAGTGGCTGAAAACCAAGAATTATAAATTTTACAATGAATTTAGTCGGCTACGTAGCTTGACTAAGACTCTGATTTCTGATTCCTACAGATCTTACATAGTCAACATGGAAACTAACATTAAATCTAATCCTGCTGAGATATGGAAATTTTTAAACAACAGACGAGGACATTCAAGAATTCCAAATACTCTACATGATGAGAAATTTGAGTACTCGGAGCCTTATTCCATCGTCAACGCTTTTGCTGACTTTTTTTCAAGTTCGTTCTCATTAAATGACCCTATTCTAATAACTGATTCTGTAAATTCTACTGTTCCCTTCGGTTTTCCTTTCATCTGTGAAGATGATCTTACATCTATAATGGCACGGTTCTCAAATAAGTGTACTTCAGGTGATGACTCAATACCTTCGTTCCTTATACGTGATTGCAAGTTGGTTTTTGCTAAACCGCTATCTATTTTATTTAATCTTGCTATAAAAACTTGTACTTTTCCGAGCCTCTGGAAACGTGCCCGTATTTCTCCTGTGTTCAAAAATGGTGATAAATCATGCATTCCAAATTATAGACCAGTATGTATTTTGTCCAATTTTGGAAAAGTTTTCGAAAAGGTTCTTTATCAGGTGATTTACAATAAAGTGAAGAGTTACATTTCGCCTTACCAGCATGGCTTTGTCTCTGGAAGATCCACTGACACCAATCTTTCAACTCAACAGAACTCATTTTCCTTTACCGACGCAATATATGATTGACGGTTATCTCCTTGATAAGAAGGATTGTATGAAAGATCTTGGTATTGTTTTTGATTCAACGTTGACATTTGTTGAGCACCTTAATTGTGTTTGCTCTTCTGCGTCTAAGTCCTTGGGGTTTGTCATGCGCACTTGTCGCAACTTTAGTGACTTAAACTTAATGAAGCAGCTCTTTTATTCCTATGTTTTAAGTAAAATGGAATATGGCATACTAGTATGGAGCCCCATATATGCATCTCACGCACTCATGTTAGACAAAATTTATCGCCGTTTCTTGAAGTACTTATCGTACAGAATCGATGGGGCTTATCCAGAAAGAGGAACTAGTTCAGTTGAACTGCTTGAACGTCATCATTTGCCGTCATTGGGAGAAAGAAGAACTCAACGTGCTGCATTATTTTTGTCTAAACTAGTGCATTATCAAATTGACTGCGAATTTCTTTTGAGCAAGGTACCTTTCAATGTTCCTCGTCTTACGTCAAGATCGGCATCCAATTTCCGCTTACCAACTCCACGTACAAATGTACTGCGCAGAGCACCGATATTTATTATGTGTAAAGCTGCTGATGTTATATATGATGACTTGTTTGTTTAAATAGATGTTATATTTTTGTTATATGTTTGTCCTATAATAGGTTACTGTTGGACAAATAAAGATTACTATTATTATTATTATTATTATTATTATTATTATTATTTTTTAAATGTAGGAAAACGAGGAAAACCTACACGGACCGCTGTCACATCGGCTGCCACTGTCAGAATAATCAGGCCAGCAACGGTCAGATATTATAACCGGAGATTTTTGATTGGCCACGCTATTTTCAAAAATAGTGTAAGAAATTCACATTTACGGTATGCTTATACCACCTCGTTATGATTATAACCATAAGGGGAGTTTTTATAAGCGAATAATTGTTTAGCGCAAACTCTCTATTGTGTGTTTAACAGCATCGGTATAGGTAAGCTGATCTCCTTCTAAATGAAAGATATCATTAAATTCCCGGCATATATTATTAATTGAATCGCGTTCTTCCGGATTTAGGTGATCGGTTTGAATTAAGGACTCTAGGGTACTCAATCTATTTAAGGTGGCATCGGTAGATAATGAAATAACGTGAAAATCATTTAGGTCCTGGAATTCAATGTCATCAGGATTAAAATTTATAGGCGTTTCGTTTGTGTTTATCACATTTATGGCATAGTACCCGTCAGTGTGATGTATAATACAATTTGGTACCAACAGTCCAGGCAATATTTCCTTTTGTACACAAACCTTGGGATTTTTAAACTTGTTTTCATCAATTGAAACTTGCACCGTAAATTCCGATCTAGCGGGTATTTCAAAAGAGACGGCTTTTTTAGGGTTATTTGGGACAGAGTTAGTAAGAGTAAATAAATTTACAACTCGCTTAATAATATTATGGCAATCTGGAAACTGCTGAGTTTGCTTAAGTATGTTCAAATTTAAAAATCCATTGATTAGTTCTTCTAATTTTAGTGATCCTGCAAATAATTTACTGGAATTTTGTTTAAATATCTTTTCTGTTTCGAGAATTACTGTGAATACTGCAACTGATGGATATAATAAGAGATCACTTTTGTTCGATTTCAAGTCGACAACAATTTTTAATTCATTTAAAACATCTGAATTTTGTAGATTTACGGCCGAAATACAATTGTTGCAGTGTAATTGATTTCTTTGAATATTTGTTAATATTGAGCCTATAAAATAATATAATGCTTCTTTTTCTTCATCACTGATAATTTTTGAATTTTTTTCTAAAGATAGAAAGTATTCAGTGTCAATTGTATCTGTTTGATTATCAACAGAATAAAAAAGGTCCGCTAACGACACGTCATCTGTTACACCATAATTTCCATCATGTTTCGGCTGAGTGAAATATTGGGATATGGAGATTAATCGCAAAGCAGTTTTGAATTCTTTAGCTGTCGGAACTGGATTTCTCGACCGAATATTTGAAAATAAATTTTCCAAAGCATTTTGGGTAAATCTGCTTAACAAAAGATATTAAGTATTTAAAAAAAATGTTGTAAGCCCGGTACGGTTTTTGTATTTAAAAGAATACCAGTTTGTACTGGTTTCCAATAACCGCTTTCTCCAATATGAATATGCACGATAATTTTCATAAAATCTTCCAGAAAAGTAGTTATGTCTGTATATTCCGTAACATTCATTATTTTTACTAAGTCCATGCTTAATAACACGGGAGCTCATGATGGTATACCATTTGTATACCAATTCCAAAAACCAAGCTGTTGTTAAATGCTCCAAACCGATTTTTTCTTTAGTTATATAATATTTGATGGCGGCGGCTGTATCATGGTTTAGAATTGCCAT